GGGAGTCTCGCCGCCCGCCCGGCCCACGTGACACCCCCAACCGCGCGTCACTCGGACTCGGGGCCGCGAGGGCCGCCTTAAAGGGCCAGGCGGGCTGGGGCCGGGACAGACCTCGCCGGGCAACACAGGGGGTGTGGCTTCCCGAGGGGGCGGAACCCTCCCGGGTCGCGGACCCGCGGGAGGACTTCTGAACGTGGGCTGCCTCCCTGGACTTCACCCGCCACCCCGAAAGCGACAGAGCTAGGCGTCCTGTTCCTCTTGAAGCTTCCACTGCAGTGGAGTACTCTGCGCGCGGCCAGACGGCACTCCAGACTGCTTGCTGGGCCGCCGTCCGCACCCTTCCTCCGCCTTCCTCCCCTCGGCACTGGGGACCGACCCTGGGCCTCGCACCGAGCTACATCACCCGGACTTTTTTTTAAGGTCTCCCTACATTGCTAAGTTGCTTAGGCTGGGTCCGAACTTGTAACCCTCCTGCCTAAGCCTACTCGAATGCTGCCAACTTCTTTTAATTTTTGCCAGCATGCCAAGGACAGAGGCATCTCGTTGTTTGATCTGTGACCCGCCCCCCGCCCCAGTGGCTCTGTCTGTGGCTCCTACTCATACCCAGGGCTCACTTTTTGCTTCGGTTATACAGCACTCTGGGACCAGAAATCCTGATTTTTTTTTTATTTGGCTGGATTCACCAACTTCTCACCTTATAGTTGGGGCTTTTGGTGTTGCATTTAAAAGTCTCCGCCTGGCCAGGCATGAGCCTGTAATCCCAGTACTTTGGGAAGCTGAGTCATGAGGATCACAAGTTCGAATCCCACCTGGGAAACTTAGACTGTCTCGAAATTTAAAAATAAACATTAAACGGGCCAGAGATGTAGCTCAGTGTAAAGGCCTCGGGCTCAGCCCCTGTACTGCAAGAACATCTCCGCCTCCCACCCCAGTGGCGTATTCTCTGTTAGCTTTGTAGTTTAGCTCTCCACCTGCAGGCATCTACTTCATTCTGGCCCCGTCTGGGCCCGTTGTACATATCTTGAGCCAGTTTTCCTAACACAGTCTCTTACTTTACAAAGGAAATGGAGGCTCCCAGAGAGGAAGCAAATTGATCTAAGCCCGTGGCTGTCTCCTAGTGGCAGATCTCACTACTTCCTTAAATTGTCCAACCCCACGACCGATAGGCACTCAACAGGTGGCCCCTCTGTAGGGAGTGTGAAGGCGCTGGTGGGAGCCGGATCTCCGTGCAGGGCTCTGCTGCCATCTTCAGGCTGTACTCAGAGCTGCAGACACTGCGACCTCGATGCACGCGAATGAATCTGAGGCCATTCTCCTGGCTTCCGAGTTGGGGACCACTGAGGCCTTCCCCACAACCTTCTGGGTGCCCGGGCTGCGGGTCCAGGCTCCTCCAGGGAGCAGCTCCTGAAAGCTGGAAGCTGGTGCCTCCCCATCCCTGGTGACTGTCTGTGAGGACTGAGTGCATGAGCAAAGAGGGCTACACTACGATGGGCACCCTCTGTGCGCAAGTGCTGAGCTGGGACAGGGCTTGGGGCTCCGGCCCTGTCTCCTCCGTGACCTTCAAGCTAGCAGCATCCGATGAAGCAAAAGTCCCCAAGCAATAGGCTCAACTCACCATACTGAGCATTTCCCCTGACCAGACACTCTATACATGGGTGCTCTACCCCAAAACCACAACCTCACCAAGAGCCGAGGAGCAAGGCAAGCCCACAGCCACACAGGCGAAACCATTCCAGAGCAGGCAAGCAGCCTGCTGGAAGTCAGCAAACGCCATACCGAGCCCATATTCCAGCCCCAAAGCATAACCTCAGGCCTGGGCTCTTCCCCTCAAATCAGGGTCTCTTATGTGTATGTTGGGAGGTAGGGTAATAGAGATTAAAGCCAGGGCCTTTGTACTGAGCTACATCCCCAGCCCTTTGTTTTTACTATTTATTTTGAGATAGGGTCTCACTAATTTGCCCACGCTGACTTTGACCCTGCTGCCTCAGCCTCCTGTGCACCTGGGATTACACGCCTGCATAACCACACTTGCCCTGTGGCCTCTTCTAGTAGTTCTCCCTGCCTCCCTGCACACAGCCAAATGTGCAAGCAGACTCTTACACATGCACACATGCATTTAACATGTACACACAGAGACACTCGCACATGGGCATGTGTATCATAGACAAACATGCACCCTACATGCACATACACACAGATATACACGTCGTGCAGAGACCCACACGTTTATAACCAGCTGACTGACCCAGGACCAATGCCCCTTAGTCCCACATGAGAATCAGATCCCAGATTTCAGAGCCTTAAAGAAAAGCTCCATGATCCAGAATCTTCTCCTGAAGGGAGGCTAGGGAAAACACCACCCTCTGTAGGCAGCTGGTTTAGGCCTGGTGAACCAAAGGCCAAGCAGGATGAATGGGATCGCACAAATGAGCAGAAGGGGTAGGCAGCTGAGGGCAGAGGCTGGCTCCTTGCCCCACCAAAAAACTTCTCATTGAAGCTATCTTTTTTCTTTAAAATGAAGTTAGATTACAATTCCCTAAAAATTTTTCATAATTGTGTACCTTAAGCTTCCATGATTTTTAGCAAAAATTTTAATCACATAAGTAAAACTTGTTTGTTATAATTAACTCAAAGCACACATGTGACCACTAAGCTTAACTGTCAACTTGGTTGGCTTGGGAGCCAGCTAGAGGATTAGTAAAATACACTTCTGAGTGTGTCTAGGTGGGTGTCTTACTTTCTTTTCTCACTGCCTTACACCCAAAATCAAAGGCAAAAAGGATTATTTTAGTTCACAGTTTGCAGATGTTTCAGTTCATAGTCATTTGGCTCTAAGGCAGGGAATCATGGCAGAGGAGAAACAATCCAAGGCAGAGCAAGGAGGAAAAAAGCAGCCAGCCTGCCTTCCACCTTTCCCTCGGTACTCCATCCAGGCTACAAGCATATTGGTTGGTGTGACCCATACCCAGCATGGGCTGCCTATCACCCATACCCAGAACTATACTAAATCAGTCAGTGGACTGATCCAATTATCACACACCCTTGATCCAGGGTCACACACCCATGATCCAGCCACCTCTCAAAAGCCCCACCAGTGAGGGCATAAGGCGTTGTGGGGACATCTAGGTATAAGCCATAACAGTGGGTCATGGAGGCATGACCTTGGGGTCTACATCTGGTCTCTGGTCCTTATTTTCTGCCACTGCTGCCCTGCTCTGCTTCCTGGCTGCCATAAACTACACAGCTTTGCTCCGCCAGCCAACCATGCACTGAATTGTCCAAAACCATGAGTCAAATAAACACTCCTCCTTTAAGTTGTGAGTGCCTTGTATTTTATCCAGCAACAGGAAAGCTGACTGCCGCAACAGAGACATGTAAAAAGTAAGCAGTGATGATGCCTAACCCCTCCCAGCCCCACAACCAAAACCCATGCGCACACAGGCACACACGTTCCCCACAGGGCTCACTATAAGCAAATGTTTTACAACTGCTCACTTAACCCAGGGGTCAGAACACGTGACCTCTTCTCAGTGCTCAGGTTCCAGCAGTCACCTCCGCATCCCCTTTTACACCGATGGCAGGGCTCAGCATTAGGAATGGCTATGTGCTGAAGGGCACAGAGACAGACCCTTTAACAGCTCCTAGTGGCCAAGGGTGAGTGCCTGAGTGAGGCGGGCAGTCACCGTCTACGTGGACTGTGCTTGGAGGAGAGAGGAGGGCTGCTCATGGTGAGCAGATAGAGACCAGATCGGCCAGGTGCTGAAGAAGCCACTGTTGTATATTCTTGGGGCACGTCCTGTGGTTGTTCTGGGTGAGGAAGGGCAGGGGAAGCCTGCAGCATGAAGCCAGGTGTGAGTGGTGGGAAAGCGCTAAAAGGGACCCTGGAGATCGGGCCAGAGGGCTCTTTAGAAGGAGCGCCACTGGGTGGCAGTATGGGTCCAGTGGGGGGGGGAGCGGAGGCTCACAGAGAGCAGAGGGGGCAGGAGAGTGTAGGAGATGGCCGGAGGGACCCACAAGGCTTGAGGCAGACAGACACCTAGGCCCCAACAGGAAACACCACGTGTACAGCATGCAGGTGAGGAGAAGACAGTGATGTCAGATTCACAAAAGATGACTGGAGGGCCAAAAGCCCTGGGTTTACACACAGCTGCCTAATCACTGACCTCTGTAGGGGATGCTTTCAAAGGGGACACCCATGCTGCTCTGCCACTGATTGGCCTGGAACAAGGAAGTTTGACTGCAGAGCTTAAGCTTGGATCCTGAAACATATCTACCAGTTGGCAAGTCACAAACACCTAGAGAGAAAGTAGGGGGAAGGGTGTAGGGCCTTGGCTCCAACCCACTACTTGCTAGCTATGAAATCTAGGGTACAGTGTAATCATTCTATGATTACACTGTTTCCTCACCTGTAAGATAGGATAACTGTGGTAGTTATGATTATAGAAGAGGTTGTACATTGCTGATTGTCTGCCAGATAGTTAATAAATGTCCACGAGAATAGTCACATTGAGCAGGAAAGGGTATGGTCTTAGGGGTAGAGATCTTGGGATTTGGTCCCATAAAGACCCAGGTTCAAAATAGAGCTCTGGGAACTGGGGACATGGCTCTGTCGTGACAGTATTGGCCTAGCATGGCATCTGTGAAACCCCTTCATCTTCATAGTAATGGAGCAGTAGCTGCTTCCTACTGGAGAGATAGAAGCCCGCTCAGGAGCCCCATAGTAGGCTCTCCGAGGTACCCTGGTCCTCCAGTGGGTGATGAGGCATCCCTCCCATCCTACTCCTACCCCAAGAAACTGGTTTCTCTGGTCTCTTCAGGAGGAGCTGGCAGAGCTACACTGAAGTCTGGCTTCCCTTCAGAAAGTCACAGAGAAGCAGTCTCCTGGAGTCAATACTCACATTAACCAATTATTTTTTCCTGTTACCCAGTTCTCCTTGTCCTCTGCTCCACCGTGGTTAGGGCACCTTAGGCCTTGTCAACCCTGAGGAAGGCCCTGTCTCTGTTACTCAGGCCTCCTAAACACTGCTACTGCCTGGATCTTGTAGCCCAAATTTTTTTCTGAGGATTCTGGGAGCACACACTGGGCGGAGAGGGGTGAGAGGGAGGAGGTCCCGCTGACTCTCCAAATCTCATCTCCCCCAGTCCTTCAGGCGCAAGGCTTAGGAGGCGGTTCCCACCCTGCGGTCCCTCAACATGCTCCCTGATGAGTCATGAGCTAAAACGGTGGAGGGGATTAGGGCAGACTTCTGAGCAAGCTCTGGACCTCGCATTTCCTAGCAAGGCATCTCGTTCCCTGGGGCTCCGCATGTCTGCAGAACGGGAGCAACGTCATTTGTTGAGGGTCGAATGTAGTAAGTGAGCTGTAGATGGGATGGGGTCACTGCGGTGCCCCCTCACCCTACCCCCAAAATTATCCCCTGGTGTTTGGGACACCAGGTCTTTCCCCCAGCGTTTTCTGGGGGCTCACCAATTCAGAGAATAGACTGTCTGGGCCTACCTCAAGTCACTTCCCTGGTTAGTGGGCCAGCAGCCTAATTCAAAAGCTCGGGTGTGCCTTCTCTTCTCTTTCAAAGAAAACGTTCTTGCTTGGATCCTTTCGGTCGTGCTGGCCGCAGGCTCGACCCAGTTGACCTGCTCATTTCGGGGGGCGGCCTCTGACCCCAGCCCCGCTCCCCCGTCCTCCTCGGGACCCCGCCGCAGCCTGCACAAGCGCACACAGTCCTGGGGCCCAGGCGCGGAGCAAGAGCGCTCGTACTGTACACCCGACGGACGCCTAGCCGAGGCGGGCAAGGAGGGCCAGGCCCCGGTCCCCGCCTCCGCGCTGGCACCGGCCCGACGGAGCGATGAGAGGACCCACCCCCAACAAAGGGGAATACCGAAGGCGATCCGGGATAGGGGTGCAGGAGCCTCGGGCCCCTCCTCGGCCTCCCTCGGTCGGGTCTTCCCGGGCTGGTCTCTCAGTCCGGCCCTGCTCGGGCACGTCAGTCCTGGGTCCACGCGCTGCCATTGGCCCTCCCGGCCACTAGGCCCCACCTCCTTCCCCGCGATTGGTGGGCCCGCGGAGCCCCGCCCCGTTTTCCTGGAAAGTTCTTGGAAATGTGTCAAAGGTGTTTCCTTTCATCGCCCCAGACAGAGTCGCGGGGCAGACGCCCCCAGCGCCGCGCGCCCGCCCCCGCCCCGCCAAACGGCCTGCAGTTCTAGGAAGACGCGGCTTCCGGGAAGGGCTGGGACGCGGCGGCCGGACGGAAGATTAGCGGCG